TACTTAAAAAAATTTAGTTTTTGGTTAAACGAGAAGTACAAGTAATTTGCCTTAAGACACGATTCCATGCACCACTAGTTTACAATTTAGTTTGAAAATGAATATATTTCATATGCGTTACTCTAAGAAATACATCCTTATATAGATTCATCCCTCATCTTTTGTTATTGTAAACATTCTTAAGTGTTTTGTACGATAAAATCGTCACTGTATTAGTACGATAAAATATATTAATAATTATCTCTTTGAAAATATTTGAAACAATTGTTTTCAATTATTGATCAATATTTATTGATTATTGATAATTTGCTTCGAATATTCAATTCTGGTATGGTAAGTTCCAGCAATTTGCCTTGAGGCATGATGTTATTCACCACTAGTTGCGATTTTGATAATATACTTGACGTCACCTTAAAAACTCATAAAGATGCATTGTACCATCTCAAAAAAGATTCATAGCTAATCCATTCTATTTCCAATTAACTCCAACGTTACTATTTGTATAGCTTTACGTCGAGCACATTGATTGATGCATCTCCGGAATCTCTCTAAGTAAGTAAGATGTTAGTGTTTATGGTGTATGGTGTATGGTGCATACGTTTCGGTGGCCAAGTAATCTGGCCGAGCCGAGTGAGGAGTAATCCGCATTCACTTTGTCACATCATTGTGATGTAGGTTGGAGCACAAAGAACACTGATAGTTAATTCGGGGATGGAGTTAAAGGGTTGAATCAAGCTCACGGCACTATATTGTGTAATCATTAGGTACGCGCGTGTGAACCTTTTGACACGACAAAATAATGTCATCGATTGATGATGTTAGATACTTTTAGAAATATTGTGACATGATGAAAGCATCGATTAAAGGTTTGATGTTAGATAAATTAGATTAAAATTATTATTTTTTGTTTGTTTGTTTGAGCTTTGACTCAATACTATGTCGGTTTTACAGATGGCAACCGAACCAGTTGTCTCATCTATGTGTCATAAATTTTGTTATTACAATTTCCGTAATATGGCAAATAATCATTGATGCAGAGGTGCCGGATAAGTGTTACTTTCACTTAGAAACATATTGCTCTCTATGTTTCCAAGGGGAAAGCGATGTCATTACTGCTAGATATCAGGCTGTTCGATGCGAGTATCAAAGTCGAAATTTACTTACCTACGAGCTAAAATTATGATAACTAAGTCTAAGTGATGTTTTACCATAAGGAACATTGCGCAGACTAAGCAAAAAATACTGGTGCTTGACAAGAAACAAGGTTGAATGAATAGATAGATTTAACTAGTGGGGCGCATGGCATCTAGCCTTAAGGCCAATTGCTGGGACTTACCGTACCAAATATTATTTTTTTTAAAAACGATTAACATTTTTGAAAAAAATTTACTTTGAAAAAATTAGATTTTTGAGACATTAGGAATTTGACAAAAAATTACTTTTTTTGAAAAAAATAAATTTTTTTTTGAAAAAAAAAATGTTTTCTCTATTTTGACATATTTTGGAAATTCTAAACTTTTTTTCAAAGCAATTGTACTGCTTTAACTGCATAGACACAAAATGTCAAAGCGCGTAAGCGCCGCGTCGCCGTCTAACGAATAAACATTGGTATGGAACCCATAGGATGCGACCAAAATTTATACTTATTGTTAAAATCTCTATATAAAATATCTGATAATTTGATGTGCATATGTCTAATGATCATTTTTGACCGCCACATGGCATTTTTTTTCTAACTTTTTTATTAGATCTCTGAAACCGCTAGACCTGCCTTTATGAAAATCAATTCTTCATCTTGTCAATACAAGTAAAATGTTTTTTGAATTATTAAAATCGGACGCTCCGTTCTCTTTAAAAGTGAGTTACCGTTTTTGGCACTTTTTGCCCCGTATGTTCAGAACGGTTAGACCTGCCCACGCCAAAAACTAATCAGCACGTCTCCTTATCAATATGAATCGAATGTTTTTTGAATTATTTAAATCGGTTGATCGGTGAAATCGTCGACGAAAATTTGTATCCGCACACACACACACACACACACGCGCACACTCACATACACACACACAAATACATCCATTTTTTCTAAGGTATGCCAAAATGTTCAGAAACCTTAGAAACGTAAAAATATATAAAAAATTTCATTTTCGATTTTTTTGCGATAACTATAACTTGCACTACGGGAGTTAAATATTGCTCACAGATTTTTTATAATCTCAACTATTAATTCTTTCATCGACAGACGATCTATGTGTACGAGTGTCTCCTATCCTAGACATTCAGTGTCACTTGTTGGATATTTCTATTTTGTTATTGTTGTTTCTAGTTCTTTGTTTAATTTTTAGTGTTTAAATGCATCTTAATTCATGATGGTTGGAAATTATGATATTTTGTGTAACAATACTTGCGCAGCTCATCGACACGTACAGGAGCGTCATTTCTTTGAAAAATACTCTGGTATAAAAATAATTAATTACGATATCAGAAGTCTAAATTATATATCAAAAGTAGGAAAATATCTAATGTAGGTTAGGGCCTGGTACAAAGGTTCAATTCAGCTTTGATCACAATTACATTGTGATAACTAACCAAAATGTTCAGTACTCCCAGCTAAGTCATCGTTATAAAAATGTTTTGTTGATATTTTTCTGAAATTTGTCACCTAATCATCTCACTACATAGACAGGATAACAAGGGATGGCCAGGAGGCAAAAATATCCACAATTTCAAGTTTAATTTTAAAAACATTTTATCAAATAATAGCTACGCTATTTAATCAATGCGAATCAGATGAATTATTCGATAGAACCACAAAAAAATATCCACAATTGCAAGTTTAATTTTAAAAAGGTTTTATGAAATAATAGCTACGCTATTAAATCAATGCGAAGCAGATGAGTTATTAGATAGAACCAAACCAGTATTTTCATCAACTTTCACTACTTCATAAATCATTTTGGTAGTTACTCCTGTTTAATTTATAATAATCACTCATTATTACTTGCAAAACAATTATTACAAATACAAATGAGGTAAATACAGCTTCAGTTTTAAATACATATTTAATAGGTAATTTCTTTTAAGAATTGCACTGCATACAATATTCGTATGGAACTTTGTCAGAAGAATTCATCATCTGAATTAGTATAACCATTAAATTAATTTATATCTTGTAAAATTGCTTTTTTAGCTTATTGATGATTTACTATTTTCTCATTATCTCCACATTGCCAGTGTAAAGTTGTTTTGTTTTACTCCAACCGCATGTAAACTATTTTAGAGGTTATATAAAAAAACGGTTGAATCAAACTTAAGAACAACAGCACATCTAATATAAAAATTATATAACGTGTAATTAACTATTATACTTACGAAACAAAAAGACTACAACTAAAAAAATTACTTTAAAAAATACGGTAAAAAATTTGATAATGTGGCCATTTATCTTCTGATTGCGATATATGAATACTAAGGTGTCCATAAAAGTCCGCAAAATTTGTATCGGATTTAGATCTTTTATCCCGGAATGTCTCGGGTTTTCAAAAAGTATAGTATCAAATTGAATTTTTGCAATTACTTTATAATAAAACTATCCATCAAATATCATTTTACGAAAATCCAAAGGCGATAGTGTCAATAGCCTCTCACATTAATAAATTTAAAATTTCACTTTTAATTTAAAAAAAAATTAACAAAAATTATGACAATGAAACAATATGTTTTTCAAGTTAATTATAAAGAAAATTGAACAAAATTCCATATAAGGCTCATTCGAAAAAAACAGATTGAACAATATGAGCTTTAATATAACATTATAGATAACAGAAGAGCATAACTTGAACATAATCGAATGATAAAATTCTTACTAAAAGTTTGCAATTCTGATTAAAAATATTGATCATTAAACGTTTTTATTGTATCAATAAGTAGTATTATTATTTTAAAATCATATTTAAGCTTTTTGGCAATGAACCCCTTTTCCCCGTTCCGGGATTAGGAGAACTAAAAGTTGCCGTCCCGGTTTGACTTAAAGAAATTTGATACTATTTTGTAGTAAAGTAAAAATTGTGTTTTTTAGATAACGAAGGTGGACCTTTACACCCGTGGTTCTATATGTCCCTACTAGTAAATTAATATATTATAATTTTTCTGTATAAAAATTATTACCGAGCCGCTCATAACCATTACTTGCATCTGTTCGATTTGGGGAGATCCCCAAACGAAGAAACAATTGCCAAACACGTCTTTTAACAACCCTCACAGGCAATTTTCCAAATTTTCCGCAAGAAGTATCCGTTCGCGCATCGTGCAAAGGCAATATCCATCCAAGAAAAGAAAATTCTGCTCGCTCCATTACCTCCATTACCCGCGGCGGTTAACTCGCGCCGGACGACCGCACGAATTATTCGGCGAATCTCTCTCTTTCCGCGTTTGTATCGATCTTAATAATCACGATGGGGTCCCTGCCGAAAAGGAGTGAGTAGGCTGTTAATTCCTATGAATTATGACTCCGGTTTCGTGATTTCTCGTCCCCTTTCCTTTTGCGAAACTCCGACTTTAGCGGCAAATAATATTTGTGCGAATGCAGCAAAATAAAACAACACATACAACGAAAACGTGCGCGGTTTGCGATAACGCTGGCGGTAATAGATCGTTAATAACACACTAGCTTAAAAATGATATAATAAAATTTTTTTTTGAATATTTTTAGCAAATGAAAACAATATTGACATACTTTGACATTACTTTATTGAAAATAAATTTTTAAATGTAGTAATGGATTAGATATTAAGATCGGAAAATTTGAAGTTAACTGTTATAACTGAACTTTCTTCTTTTTTGGTATTATTTTGAACCATAATCAAAACCAAAGAGTCCTATTTGACTTATATTGGGCTGATTTGACTTCAAACTAAATCTGTTCTACAGATGGCAACCAAACCCGTTGTTCTATTTCTTATTATTACAAATTCTGTAATACAGCAAATATTTTTTATTTGCAGCTTTGCTAGATCAGGGATATTGCCACTTGCAGACAAATTTCTATCTATATTTCCAAGTAAAAACCGTCATCACTATTTCTCGACAACAGGCTACTCGAAGAAGGATTAAACCCAAGACTACTGACTCCAGTTGTGTTCTTGCCACTTACCTGCGAGAACAAGTGATACTGAAATTTTCTTAAAGGTAGGCCCCAATAACTTTCACAAACTTGATTTGACGATAATATATATTTGACATAATAGATAGACGAATCGAATTTTAGCAACATTTTAAATTCTGACGGTAGAACTTCATAGACCTATAATATTTCAGAACGATCATGAAGTGTATCATAGAAAACATTTCAAATTGTAAAATATACATTTTTTATGATTTATTACTAAGAAATAGATTTTTACCTAAAACTAATCCGTACGATACCAAGAAGCCCAAGATGCCTAAGAACAGTTTTTGAATTATAAAAATCATTTCACGAATTTTTACGAAAACTTCACAAAAAATTTTACAGTTTTCTGTAAATTCTAATTTCTCAAAAAACTTATCATAGCTAGCACTCGCTGAGTTTCATCGAATGGCTTCAACCGAATGAAAATTGGTACAGCCGTTTTTTGAGAGATGTAAGGGTAAATCTCGGAACACACACAAACAGTTATTCAATGTTGGAGTCAAACGGCTCAGAATGACTTGAAACGTCGAGAAGACATTCAATTTTAATGTCCGTTTTTCTAGTAAAAACGGTATGTAGGAAAATAAGCTTTTCTTTGTTTTGGTAAAAACAGTGGTAATAAGAATTATTACCCATTAATATTTCCAAAATTCGAAATTTATTACTTTGACTTTAAATAATTTGCTATTTTACAGACTAGCAATACCTATAGCTAGAATTGTGTGTAAAATTTTAAATGAGATCTAATATACTGAAGTGTTTAAGGTATAATAATACATTTTGTTTTTTTATTTTTATTTTCAAGCTCTAACAATCGCCATTGAATACCTGCGTGAATATTCTTAAATAATACAGTACGAGAATTTTCAAATACCATATACCATACATACTATATCTAGCAATACTTGTATTCTAATACTTTTAAAATGTTAAAGAAATATACTTGATTTAAAACTTATTCTTACATTTAATGTAATTTTAAAAACATTTTAAAATTTTGGAAACAATCCAAACAGTTTTTGGATCCTTTGGGAAGTAATTGTGAAACTTTTTTAATTGAAACTGGCCAAGATTGACCATTTTGCCCTAATTAGCCCGGCACCATTCGGTGTAAGGGGTATAAATGTATAAATATAAAATTACCTGTAACTTATAATAACTGAGAGACTAGCAAAAGTAATGAGAAGAGAAAGTTGTAGAGCGAAGATCAATATATATCGTAAATTAAATAGTTGTTGTATTCACTTTTCTTATGGTGATGAGAAATTCGTCAATCATAGTAATCGCCAACAGAAACACAACAGTGTATATTTTTAAAGGCCCTCTCATAAAATGAATAATATTACTTGCATAATATAATGCAACAAGCTTAAGGAGTTCTTAAAATATGTATATTTTATTATTCATATAAAATTACCTCAGAACTTTTTTACCTTCAAATTTCATGATAAAGACTCAGTAGATGTCTTATATTTTAAAACAATTTATTTATATTCATAATTACGGTCACTATTTTGTCAATTAATTTGTTAATTTTATCATAGACTATACAAAATATTGATTATAGATTACAAATTATTATCATTATGTATTAACGTCCATATCGTACCTCGCCTCTTTCCCCAATGCTAAGGTTATCAAGGAATCCCATCTAATGGCACGTGTGTGTGTGTATTTTCGGCCCCATCCCGTGGGTTGCGACCACCTGGCTTATGTGATAAATTACCATTACCTATGTAGTCAGGCCTAGAATTCTCATGCGGAATACATTTGACAACGAAATGCATTAAGCCGAGACCCTCTTGTTCGCCCTCGGGCACTTTACTCGTCTGAAATCTAGACAGAGAATATATTTATGATTAATATCAATCGCATGATGCGAAACAAGTGACTCGCCGTTTCTCATTAGGATCAGGATTATACTTAAGTGTTAAAGCAGCCATTAAATGTGAGAGACGTGATGACGTTATTTTTATATTTTGATGGATTTGAAATGAAGCATCAAAGACTACTAGGTAAAGGCACGAGGCAGGCAATATTTTTAGTAGATTTAATGTTTCCAAATGTTTAATATGATATTTTTCTATTTAACAGCAATCAGAATTTGGTCTATTAATAGGAAGCTTATTACTAAGTAACGATGCCATTAGAAGACAAATCCAATGTTTTTTCTAGATTACAGATATGTTTACCGAATTATTTTTGTACGTTATTAGAAGGTAACTTTACTGTGGACTTGCAAATTGGGGTATTGCAGCGATGCCCAATGGGTTTATTGTTACTGGGTTTCGATAAGAAGTTCTAGTTTATTTCATCAATTCTAAGGAAACAATCTAACATTTCAAGGTGTATTGCAAATGCACCTTGGTATGTCAGCAACCGAATACTACATAACAATCTAAAAATCGATATTGTCCAGGAGGTAGTGAAAAACAGAAGTAGAATTCATGACGATAAGATCATCAACCACAATAACCGCACATTAATTCCCGTATTACAAGCATCACATATTAGAAGATTGAAGAAGAAGCATCCCTTCGATCTAGTGCAATAAAATTGAATAGCCTACTGGGATGATCTCCATCATGTCACTTTTTTATCCGTACGATTTGTAAAACAATGAACTTAAATGACCGCAAAAGAATGAATTAGTAAAAGAAAGAGCTTATAGAATTTTTTTCTGATTGCTTTTTAATTATTGTAAAAAAAAATGTTATGGCGCAAATGCTGCATTTGTTTTATTATTTTCATTATAATTATTTACGGGGGACAGTAAAATATTCTTCTGATTCAGACATTTTTAAATCAAGATTTGTACTACATTGTAACTTTAAAATGTTTATCTATGCCAATTTCCTTGTTGGCGCCGGTACGCATTCAACGTTGATGCCGGTACGCATAGTTAAAATGTTATAGTTTAGTACATCCTGATGTCAAGCAGTTGTGACAAAGATTTGCGCTTGGAAATATAAATAGCAATATAATTCAAAGTAAAAATTGTCTTAAGGGGAGGGGGTTTGCTTTAGAGACTTAAAATCGATTTTTTTTGCAAAAATGTTCCAAAACTAGCTAAGAATATATATCTAAATATTCAGAAACAAATTCAAATAATTTTCGGAATTACAAAACAAATAGTAAGCAAAGGTGAAGTATGTATACGAGCGAAACGAAAACTTCGATTTCTCGGTTTTTAATTTTTTCGAGTCTTCCTAAATGACGGGAAAGATAGAAAAAAACCTAAACGACGTATCGAAACGAGACAAAATTTACTATATTCAGGATTAAATTATATTCTAGTTGAACCTAAAAAAACTTAAGAAAAAGTTATAATTACTAATTTTAATAATAACGAATTTTTTTACTTGATATAAGTTTTTTTCCATTTATTAACTTCTTTAAGAAGAAATTGAAGTTATCACCATATTATCGATTAGCTAGTTTTATTTTTTTTCGAGATATCACATACTTCTGAAGCGTTTGGTAAATTTATTTTATAAAATATGTGCATATGTGAATGCATATTTACTTTTCGTCATCGTTTTTCAGAAAATTACAACAACAATTTTAATATGCTAAAATCTTTTTAATTAGGCCTATATGATATAGTTTCGTATGATTTTGAGCTCATTCTCCTATATAATACATATTCAAAAAACTATTACTGGTTCAAACCAAAAGTACAAATATTTATTATTAAGTGACTTCTGGGTCATCCAACAGTACAAAAAATCGGACATTTGATATATATTGACACAGAAACTGCAGAACCTGATCATTTATGATGATGCACGTTTTGTAATATGCACTTTCATACGAAATTTTAAATATAGAATTTATTATTTTTATAAATTTTTGATAGTATTGTCCATCAGATTCAAATTTCATTCTGTGGATTTAAATAAAAGATACAGCAAAGCGTAGCCGGGTATGCTAGTATATATAATAATAATAGTAATAAATGGTAGTCTGCTCGAAAGCTGGTCCATGGTGTCAGTCACCACAAATAAAAGCTTTCCTTACCATTCGTCGTCTATCATTCCTATTATCACTATCCCCTCCCCTTTTGCACTTTTTTATGTATTTTTCTTCCCAAACTTCTAATTCCATGCTTCCTGATCCCGCGCTTCAACTTTCAGTTCTTTGTATTTCTCTTCTCGGGTAACTTGTCAATCGTCTGCATTCTTCTTCTTCCCACGCTCTTCAGTCCTTCTATTTTACCCTCGACGACGTCGTGCATGAGGCACTCTTTATAAGAACGTGTCCGATCCAGTTTCCTTTTCTGGTCAAGGGTTCTACACAGTAGAGTTCTTTTTTTGCTCACTCCTCTGAGGACTTCTTCATTTGTTATCTTGGCTAGTATATATAAATATAAATATGATTTTGTAGTTATTTTTGATGTTGAGATATATGAGTAAGTTCTTGTAGGGGAAAAAATAAAAAGCAAAGATTTTTAAAATAATCTTTAATTCCGTTGGAATTAAATATATATATATATATATATATATATATATCGTATATATATATATATATATATATATATATATATATATACGAGGTGTGTTCAAAAAGTACCCGGAATTACTAATAATTAAATTTCGCGGGTCTGGAGTGTCTGATTGTCAAAATTTTTTAACTTCCCGTAGGGTAAGTTATAGTAATCGTCCAAAAATCGAAATCAAAAATTTTTACATTTCTCGACGTTTTGAAGGTTTCTGAACATTTTGGCATACCTCAGAAAAAATGGATGTGTGTGTGTGTGTGTGTGTGTGTGTGTGTTTTGTATGTCCGCGTTTTTTCGTCCACGTTTTCGGGCGCACGGATCAACCGATTTGAATGGTTTAAAAAACATTCGATTCCTATTGATAGGGAGATGTGCTGATTAGTTTTTGGCAAAGGCAAGTCCAGCCGTTACGGAGATATGGAGCAAAGAGTGCAAAAAATA